TGTGACCCCCCTCTCCTCTTAGACACGATGATGCGCAAAATTTTATATACAGTCGAATCGAAATCTATAACCATGCCTAATATATTCCTAAGAATCACCGCCTGTATGTCAGACATCATTAACGGAGGGGAAGCAGAGCTGTTACCTTACCGCATCTTGAAGGAAGATGGTAAACAACAAACCGGCCGCTTGTACGTAGCTGCAATGCCACCCTCATAAATCTCTTTGATTGGTTTAAATTTGGCAGTGGTCGTGTGGACAGAATTAACGCTGAAACTGTGGCATGTCCGGCTTCGGAAGAGATGTTCGTTTTCCGGGCGAATGCACCTTTAGAGACTTCGCTGATTACCGTAACCGGTTGAAAGTCTCGAAGTCATGTTTCCATTGTGATGCCAGAAGACACATATTTTTCCTTTTAATTAAATCTGTTCCGATCTCTCCATGCTTCCAAAATGTGCATCAGCGAATAGGAATACGACTGCTTTCGTAATGGGGTCTTCGCATTCGTTCAAATATTCAAATTCTTCAGTATTTCATGCAACTGGCCCCTACTCGTGGGTGTCGGTTCAGTTCATTTTAGGAACAAAGTCGTCATCGCTTGCCAAAACAACTTTAGAGTACTTCAAATGGTCCGCTCTCAACATTCAATTTCATCTGTTGTTGCTGAGATCATCGCTTTAATTCGTTTGCATAAACAAAACGCCTCTGGTGTGTGATGTCCACGGTATCCACAGCTTTGTGGACATTTGTCACTGCGTCGCAGAAGGAAATACTCATTTCCGACAGAACATTTGCACCTACCTTGTTCAGCCAGATAGCACGCCGATCTTCCGGTCGATCATTGCATTCTTCGGCTGCCACACGAAGATCTCATGGGCTGGAGTAAATGGTTTGTCCTCGGATACTCTGTCTGACAGAACAAATTTTCAATTCTTAATTTCTACATCTACTGTAGTCACCTGTGCCAGAAGTGAATAGAGTCATTTCTTACATACTGCTGTCATTATGCGAAGCCAACGCTGTTGCACGCAGTTCAACCGTCGTTCTTGCTTCTTTTTCAGAACAACTCTCTCCATGACGTACAACAAACATTATTTGACAGAGGTAAGGCATAGGCGGAATTTTTTGTGGGGGTGGG